CCTGTTGGAGCCAGTAGACCTTTTGATGATGTCCGTGAGCTCCCCCTTGAAACTAGTCATGAATTTCATGAGCTCGTCTCGGGTGACGGGGGCTGAGCCCTCCGCCGCCTGGGGTACCCCAGCAGGCTGGCCGGCTGGGGGGTCATGGACTGCATCCAATCCCCGTTCCCTTATTTCTCGAGAACGGGTGTGTCGCGACCTGAATGACCCGTCTGGGGCCATATAGGTGTCGACATCATTATCGTCACCACTGCTTGGGTCCGTGTGGACTTGGCTTCGACCATAGGTCGTTTGCCATCAGCAGGCGGTACATAGTCGGAAGTCATCTTGGAATTACTCTCCCCACAGACGGCGCCAAATGTTTCGGGGTTTTTTATGTGTCTTGCGGGAGAGTTACAATTCCGAGAATGGCTTGCTGACCGGTTGTGTACCTGCAAAACAACGAAACTCCGGTTGGGTGGAGTTCTGCCTCCGACGATCAAGTTAGGATTCGTTCGAAGTGAATAGTGCGGAAAGTAAAGGATTTCTCTCTGATTCAGAGAGAGTAAATGCTGTTTTGTTTTAGTGTTTTGTGTTTGGGAATTTGTGAATACCCAATAAATGAGGTATTTTCCTCTATTTATAGGGTTGGGGAACTGTATTCCCACCAATTAGGATGTGCCACGTGTCAGCCTGGGATTGGCTCCCACTTGCCCTTTATGGGACTGACACGTGGCGCCCTCTGATTGGGCCACGAGGCTAGGGTGTTTTTTTTACCCTAATCAGCCTTCTCCCTTGGGGCCTTGCTCCCACCGGCCGCCTCCCAGTCCATTGGAAGCCTACTTCCCTTGGGGCCGGCTGTGGAGGTTGGGTCCTCCCAGGCCTATTGGCCACATGTTTTCTGGCCCTACTAGGAGTCCTCACATCACCGGTCGTCTGCTTTGGAAGCTTCGGGTCCGGTTGAGAAGAAGGAGAAGGTTTGGATAAATTGCCTTGCACATAAACAGAAGGAGTAAAAAGCAGGTGGGAAAAATAAAATTCAACCCATCCAGATTAAAGAGTATGGCTCACCTTGGGCGTCTTTGCTGCATCCGATTCCTCACTCTTCTACTTGTCCAAAAGGGAGCGGTAGTAGGCAGCCGGCTTCTTGGAGGACGAGTGTTTTTCCATTACTTTGTCTGCATAAGAATTTGTAAATGGTTAAGTAAGATGAATAAAACAATCAAGTCTCTTTGAAAATCTAAGTGCATTCGGTCGTCTACCTCTCGACCTCTCAACACTCAGACCGCAGGTAGCCACGTAATTCCCATCAGATAGCCAATCAAGGCGGGGAATATAGCTTTGAGGGATGACCTCTTTCTCCCCTGTCTCCTCATTTGACCGAATGGTCACTTTGAAGAGACCCTTATCCAAGTGGCCTTTCTTGGGACAAGCGGCAGTTCAGCTCCACCTGAGAGCAGAGGAGGTTTCCGGTTCCACCGGTTGTATTTTTTGGTTTTCATCCGGTCAGGGGAGGAGACAATGTTTCTCCAGTCCTCCCATTTGGACTCCTTCCCAACTGTCATCATGTAGCCTTTGTGGCTAGAAAGAGTGTACCATCCGGACCCGCTTGCTTTTGGGGTCCGGTTGAGGTAGCGCATATGGGCAAAGGCCTCAAAACTTGGCTCTACCTCCAGCATCTCACAGCCGGCAACAAAGCCCGGAATATTCACCCAAGATTTTGGGGCAAGTTGCCAGATACCCAGCTGGTACCCATCTAAAATTCTCTCCACGCCCGGATGAGTATTTAAATTTTAACCAAACTATATATATAGAGTAAGAAAAAAAAATAGTATAGAAATACAAAGTATAATAATAATAATGATAAAAAAATATTCTAATTTTGGTAGAAAAAATTCTTTAAAGAGTCGTATGTTAGGTGTCTTTGATCCAAATTCTGAATTTGGAGGTGTCAGTGCTGGCTTCTTTTTTTTCTTTCCTTTTTCAAGAACTCCTTTTGCTCTCTTGTTTCTTCCTTTTATTACAACTCTTTAGGATCAAGTATAGTTGGTACACTTGTACTTGTACTGGATGATGAAGAAACATCATTATTGCTCTGAGTGCTCTCTGCTACATCAGGAATGTCAGAGCTGATTCTTCTCCCTGAGCAATAGTAGAAAGTAACTCTTCCACCATTTTTAGATTATTTCTGAAGCTTTCTTCCATAAATGCGCTTGTCTCTTCATTTTCTTGACTTTTTAAGATTAAATTGTAGTATTTCCTCATCATTGTTTGTATCCATGGTATATATGGCTGTGTAGGATCTTGATTCTTTAACCTATTCCATGCCTCTGATTTTGCAAACTTATTCCATCTTTTTGTAACATACTTTTCTGGTATTCTTGTTACTGAATGTAGATGTAGAATTCTGATGCAATGATAACATAGCCATCCAGATGCTTCCAAATATTTGCAAGTACACCATACACTTTGGCTCTCATGTATATAGTTTACTTGATGTGAAGACCATGGATTTTCTTCTAGGGACACTTGATAAAGTACACATTCTTCAGTTCTCCCTATCATTTTAATAGTTGATGCCATAGAGTATCCAAACTCCTCTTCAAAATCTCTGAAGAGTGACAAAGTGAAAACCTGTGTACCAAAATCATGTAGCTACTGTTAATTTGCTATATATTTTGTGTTATTTATGTACTTTTGAGTATAACTTTTTACCTGTGTAGCATGCTTTAGCATTCCAGACAATGGCAATGAAGTGAATGCTATTGACTTACTACAGGTGAACTCATCATATTTCTCTGTACTTCTCCAACGATTGATTGTTTTTCTAAATATGCCATAAAATTTTGTGAGTATAGTTGATTTATTTGCTCTGAAGCCTATTTCATGATTTGTGCTTTCACTCCTTTGTGATGAAAGAATTCCTGCTGAAAAGAATTCTCTACTAAGGGTTGGACACCATTTCTCTTTGAGTTCATACACTCTTTTGTACCAAGAGTCTGTTGTCAATTCAAAATTGTGTATTATTGCATGCCACCTTTCTTCAAATTCTTGTTTAGTCACACAACCCTTTAAGCATTTGTTGAATTCATGCTTAAACTATTTATCTTTTTTAAGAGCCCCAAATCTTGTGATTGCATTTTGTTCTAAGTTCCATATACAAAGTCGATGCCTTGTTTAGTAAACACCTACATTCAAAGTAAAATGTTGTATGTTTTCAGAACTTATTAGTTAATAGTTAGAGTAACATGTAAATATAGACTTTTTACCTGCTCAATTGCATTTGACATTGCTTGGTCCTAGTAAGTGAATATTGAGGTTGGTGTTTTATCCTCTATAGCTTTCTTGAAGGTTTTTAGTAACCACACAAATGACTCTGTTTTTTCATCCCCAATAAAAGCACATGCAAACATACAATTTTTCCAATGATTATTTATGCCAACAAAAGGAGCATATATAAGATTATATCGGTTGGTTCTGTATGTTGTATCAAAGACAAGAACATCTCCGTATATCCTATAGTCTTCTAGCATCATTGAATCTCTCCAAAAGATGTTGGAAATTATTCCTTCATTGTCAAATTTCACTCTAAAAAAGAAGTTTGGATCCTCTAATTATTCCTAGTTTAAAATATTCACTAAAGTTTGAGCATCTCTAGCCTAAATTTTCTCCATTCTTAACCTTGAGCAGAAATTCAGGTGACCTACAACACTATTGCCTACATTCTGTTCTCCCCCAGCTTCTGTAGACATGTAATTATAAGTGTCTATTGTAGTCAGACCTGAAGATTTCATTGTTTTGATTACTTCAACTTTTTCTTCTGTCATTTTTCTTTCCGAACGATGCAAATAATGCCACTGTGACCTTGTTAGCTCGTGGTTATGTTGTAATACATGTGCCACCACCTCAAAATGTCCTTCTTTATTTACTTTTGCTCTAATGCATGCCTTGCAATCAAATCGTGTAATGGCTACGTACTTGCCTTGGCTTTCTTGTTTTCACGTTTACATTCTCTTCATCAACTATTTCAACTAATTTTGTTTCTTGTCACCTAAATTTCTCTTTCCTTCTTTCTTCTCTCGGATTATCTTTGTGTGTGTGAAGTATCTTGTTGTATGCTTTCTTATTGAAAACCCCAGTATAGCAGCATGTTTTTAGTACAATTCCAAAATTTCTGCAAAAGTTTCTCTTACCACACCAACAAATGATCCTCTAAGATCTAAACTAGAGGCATCAATTGGATTTGCATCTGTGATTTAATATAATAAGTATACAGACATATCAGACAACCAGAGGCAGCATGTCATTATGTTTAGAAATCAAAGTGAAGTGGAGTAATACTATGTGGTATATGGGTCACTTTTATGCATAAAAAAGGTAACATTTGTGCATACAAAGGGTAACTTTTTGCATACAACCTGAATTTTCTTAAGAGTAATTCGTGGTAACTTTTATCAATGTTGCATTCATACAGGTAACATAATTTCATATCAAAAATAACAATTATGATCACTTATTCAACTAATTGGTTTCTCAACAATTAAAATAAAACAATATGAATTTTGATTAATTAGACGGTTGATTATATAGAAGTTACCTTCAGTTGCATTTGATTTGGATGTTTGTTCTAAATTTGAGTCAATTGATTTATGAGGGACAACCCGATTTTCTCTCTCTTTCGCATTGTCTACTTCTTCTGGATTGCTATTATCGCCAAAATTTTGAACAAATTCATCTCCAAAACTCTTTGTTTCTTCTTCTACAATCGAGTGATTTAAATCGATTTCAACAAAAGAATTCGAGTTCTCAAAATTACCTAACAATGGAGTTTCAATTTGCGTCTGTTTTTGTAGTAATTCGTGGATTAGATTACCACAATTTGAGGTATTGAAGTTTGTTAATAAATTTTCAATGATGATCGAAACCCTAAGGTATGAGTTTCCCCGTTTTCTCATTCTCTCTGCATGTTCTCACTTTCTCTCTCCTCTATTTTTGTTCTGCATTTTCTTAGCTTTTTCGCTGTTTTGTTTTTGTAATTAAAATAATATATATATTTTCTCACTTTCTCGCACGTGCCAGCCCACTGATTTACATTAACTTTAATGTAAATCAGGGGCATGCAAAATTTTTTGTTGCTTATTAGAGATGCAAGATGAATTTTTTGCTGCTCTTCTTGCTTAAATACAGGTCTTCAAAAGACTAAGTTATATTATTACTCTATTTCCTCGTGTTACAAGTTCAGCTTAGCAAAAAAAAAAAAAAAAAAAAAAAAAAAAAAAAAAAAAAAAAAAAAAGTTAACAAAGAATTAGAGTATTACATTGGCAAACCAAAATTTGACTTGACCCCTAATAATGATGTAGTAAAAAAAAATGAAGATGCTGGTAACACCATGGTACAACAAATCTGACATAAGCAGGCACAACTTTATACAATTATTGACGAGTAACTATAAGTTATGCTGCTCATCGCCCACTACCACTACGATAGCGATGTCTGTCATCTCTATCCCTACCTCTTGAAGAATAATCAGGTTGATCGCCCCTGCTACCATCTGAATCATTGTTGTGCTCTGGAAAACGTCTACTTGAGTTATACGAATATGAGCTGTATAATCGGTGAGCTAAGGTGTCTTCTGGATCCAAAGGATCATTTCTAACTCTATCACCTACAGATCTTCCAGAACTAGGACTCCTAGGTGCAGAAACATTTTTCCTTGAGTTGTGGGATGTGGAGCTATAGTCGTGGTCATTATACCTCGGTGTATATCTGGAAGCTCTGTCAAAGCCTAATGAATCATTGTCCTTGAAATCACGGTTATTATGCTCTCGGTGTCGTCCCCTACTATAAGACTCTGAAGAATAATTTAAATAAGCACCATCAACATACCGATTCCGATCAGAATTGGAAGGTCTAGTTGCCCAAACTCTTTCATCTGCATCATTCGGGATTGGTGCATTTATGCCGGGAAACTTTACACTCATTTTCTGCGGTGTTTCAACATGTTCCGCTTCAAGAATTTCACCCTCCTCTTGGCCCCCCTCCTCTTTGTCCTCTTTAATCTCCTCATCAGAAAATATGGTAATTCCAGAAGGCACATCCTCATCATCTGGCTCTGGAATTTCAAATGTTAACAAGATTAGATCATGAAATCAAAATAATAGATCAAAGAAGCAAAGTAATTTGAAATTAAAATGCAAAAATAGACTCCCAACACAATTTTGCACCAACTCAAAGGCAAACTATCTATGGATAAGCTCCACAGGATAATTGTGATCTCACATAATGCAGATTTCCAAAGTAAGCTTTCAGCTAGCAGACATGAACACATAAATTTTCTACATCATCATTCACACATTATGAATAATTTGGACAGCTAATTATTGGTTTGTGCACCTATTGAAATGTACATAAAGTAAAAGATTATGGTCCCTAAGTAAACAAATATATGGTTCAAACCTTAAAGAACATCGGTTTGACTGGGCGCACCATATAATTTATGTTATGATGCAAGTGATTTTAACACTGCCCCAAATATTCTCCTGCCACCTGAAAACTTCAGTGTCGATGTGTGTTTCACAAGTGGGAACATGCAAAAGAAGAAAAGGAGAGTGCCAAATTCATTTTGGGCTTTGTATAATACCTGACAGATTATTTATTTTAAAAAACAAATAGGATATAATATAATAACAAATGCAAGAAATCAAACAAAAAGAAAAAAGAATTGTACCTTTCCTTTTAAATAAAGTGTCTTTTGAGAAATAAATAAATAGGACATACTAACAAATGCAAACTCATTAAGGAGTTGTTGAGCATTGTTATGGATTTAAGATGACTAGAAGTAGAGCACTGAGTGATACTCTTCATTTCACAAAATGCATGTTTGGCATCATTGAGGAAATGTGGGATATAATTGATCTCCTTACTTTATAGAACAATCATGAAAAAAGTTTCACTCAAGGACAATACCATTTAAGTATTTCAACAAATGTAAGGCACGCTAAAGCGAGAGGAATTCTGTTGCGCTTAGGTGTGCCTCTTTGAAGTGAGGAGCACAATATGAACAATTTAAAACATTTGGCTTAATTTACATCAAATGTGCCTCGGATGCACCTTGTGCGCCTAACCTACCCCTAACCACAAACACCTCAACCAAACCAAGTTAAACCATACCCCTAGCACCTTGCACCGTCTTGTGAGGGGGAAGTGAAAACTCTAATTTTCGAAGAAAAAGACCCTCATCAAAGCAAAATAGGTCATGAATTATACTTCTAAACCATGAAACTTCATGGATCTCAAAAGATTTGGGACAAGGGACGGTGGCAATTTGTCTTTTGCTTTTCTCTTTCACTCCTTAATATGTGCACCAAAATGAAAAGCGTCAAATTAAAAGAAATGAAGGATGTATATAACAGTAATAACACACTATTCTTTCTAATTTAGCTGTTATATATCTTCTACGTATATTCAACTAAATTATCAATACATATCTTTAACATATTTTATGTTCTGTATTTGTAAAAAAAATAAAAATAAAAAAAATAAAAAAAGAAAGACGAACTTAAGGTAATATCAACACTTTCTCATCATTTGCAATTTTCGTTTTATTAATTTTTCTTACCAAGATTTTCTATAATAATATTAACCTTCAAATATCTTTGAGCCTACTTTGTTGTTTTAGTAATAATGTCAACTTTAATGATGATAATTTTTTTTTTTTTGTTTTTGGGGGTAAAACAATTAAATCTATATACTACTTCCTTAGTTCCCCTAATATTGCAACATGGGAGGGGACACGATTTTAAAGAGAATGATAGAGAGGAATAAAGACAAGGACTCATGTGATGAGGAGAGAGAAAACATATGTAAACAAGGATATGTTGCAATATTTCTGAAACTTCCTAAAATGTTAATTGCTGCAATATTTGTGGAATGGAGGAAGTATAAGTTACTAATTTCAAAATACATATCAACAATGACATATGTCAAAACCTGATATACATTCTAACTTTCTAAGATATTATCATTCTCAATAGAAAAAATAAAAATAAAGATAATTGTTATACCTTAGCTAGCAAGCCCAATGCAAAACACCCCCCCCCCCCCAACACCCTTACTCTTCTCTTTTGCTGCCTACATGACCTACACTTTGGTAGATTGCAGTTACCAAAGAATCAAAACACAAAAGCCCATCCACACTCCCCCAATACCCATTTAACATATCGATCACTATTACCATTAGTCAATTAAATTTCTTTTTTTGCATCACTTGCCTTATTCGTCTCTTACAAAATAAATGAATCAATTAAATTCTTGGTAACTTACTATAATGTTTTATTTTTTCTCTCTATTCCCATAAATTCCACCCAAAATATTTTATCATTTTTCTCTCTTTCATGATGCCCACTTAAATTATTAATCTTTAACCACACTTTCTCACATTCTCATTCATGGACATCATTGTCCTTATAAGAAAATAAATAAATCAACCACTTCCCCACTTACGCAATAAAACACTTATACAAATAAATTATCCTCAAGGAAGGAGAATAATATGCATTTGAATTTGATAATTCACTTACCTAGGTACCCTGGAGGATAACCAATTTCTCTCATTCTATTGAGCCATGGGGGTGGATCAAATTCCTGTCGACAAAGTAAAAGAAATAAATCAATGGAAATTTTCAGCTTCCCGGTATAAGACAGCCAAATGCAATAAAGCAAGAGGGAAAATTCATGAAATCAGTGCTATATCGCAAATATACATCTTTCTAATATGTACTTCCTCTGTTCCATTAAGTTCCTCACTCTATCCATTAAATTCAAAATAAATGCCCATTTTGTTCAAAAAATTGCACATAAAATATTTCTCATTCTAACAACTTCTCATTTGTATATATATAGAATTTGGTCCTTAATATCCTTGATTGTATACTAGTAACACACACACACAAAGAAAGATCCAAAATTTGGACTTGAGAAAATGACAATTCACAAAAATACTACCCCGTTTTTTTTAGTTGACACCTTTCTTTTTATCACACTTGCCAATGCACAATTTTAACAATTAATATCTATAATTATTAACATTGTAAAACTATAAAAAGCGGATGTTAATAAAATTTACATCAAGACAATTCAAACAAGATCTCACATGACTGTTTTATCGTAGCTAAAAATCACAAAAGCTAATCAAAGAGTAGGATGTGAATGGTGTAAAAGGCAAAGTGTCAACTAAAAAAAAACAAAGGAAGTAATTAATATGATGTTAATTTTAACATTTTACAATAATTCAAAAACAATTTTGCCAGCCAGGTCGGGTGGTCTTGTTAAGGATTTAACCAAGATAAAAATATTACAATTTTAGTACAAAGAGAGTAATAAGTGAAAAGAATATTAAGCAAAAAAAAAAAAAAAAAAAAAAAAAAAAAAAAAAAAAAAAAAAACTGTATCTGCAGATTCCATACCCGCGAAAAGTTTACATTAAAAACCAATAAAAACAGGTAATAACAAATTTGTTATTCTTGTATACTATTTACCCAAGGTTCTTGGACAACCAAATTTAGCATTTTCACTGCATATTGGGACAATGGTATATTACAACTCTATAATAATATACACATCAAATAGAACAAACTCAAAGAAGAATAGCATAAAACTAGCTTCAAACATATTTGGAACATATTAGATAAATGGACAGCTGAAATGATATAGTACACATTATTAATAATGCAGAAACTATATATTATAAGCCAAGCAGAAAGAACATTTCAACCAGCTTAAAACCTAGCAGCAAATGAAGATAAACTACAACAAAACAAAATGAAGCAAACCAATCACTGCTCTACATCTGATTACTAATTTTCTTTATGTAGTTAGCACTTTACATAATACCAAGGATTTTTCAAATCAACAAACAAACATTTACAATTTCCACCAGATCGGACATGAATAGTATAGCTTTAAATGTACACAATAGCTAACTAGGATATATCTTACCCCAAGACCCAAAAGTCGCCTTGTTTCTGCATCAAGAGCACCAGGCCTTAATCCTTCATACTTACCGCCAGGAGTGTCTTGATAATATCTAGTAGGATTGCGCGTTCCAGCTGTCTGATTACGCTTAGACTTGAGCTGCTTGCGAGAGTTATTAACAGCAGCATTGTCCCTAGGCTTTGGGCATTCTTTAAGAGAATGACTATAAGAACCACAATTAAAACAACGAGGGGCATCCAGTAGCTCCAATCCCCTAGAATGTTGACAAAGAAAACAGAAACCTACAACATCATGAAATAGCTTGAAGACAATATCAATCAAAGCATGTACAAGAAGACAATCCTGGAAATTATACGGACCATATGGACTGGTAAAAAAAAAAAAATAAGACAGGTAATTGGAAACATGAATGAGCTTTTGAGTCTAAATTTTCAGGCAATTTATGTCAGCAACAGCTTTGATTCAAGCTTTCAAAAAGAGTCGCTCCTTAAGGGATTACAACATGCCTAACTCAGAATAGTGAAAAGAGAAGATTAGCATGGCCTACACTAATCTAAAAATATTGGAAAGATTCGTTTTTTTCCTCTTTCAAAGTTGCAACATGCCTTGATTTTAGTTAATAGAGTAAATAATTTAATACAAAGGGATTAACAAATGCTCAAAGCCCAAGTTATGAAACCAGCCAAAATTCAGCTAATGATTGGGGAATGGTCAAAAGATCAATAAGTAGAACATGGTAACCCATTGCAAGCCTACTACCACTACAACAGGAAGTCAAAAAATAAAATCATTACCCTTCCAAGTTACTTGATCCATCAACTGAGATTGAACCCAATGCAAATTCACGATCATAAAGAGGCACAAATGCATCCTCAACTGGCTTAAAATCCTCGTCTTCTGGCTTCCTTATTTCATCCTCCATCCAGAAGTTCTACAATCGGTAAAAAATAAATAAATAAATCTCTGAAAACTCTGCATAGGCACATAATGTAAATCAACACCTCAAATTGAGAAAAAAACCAATACACTGAACACCCAGTTTAGAACTACCATTGGTGAGCTATACACAATCTAGAACTACCATTTGTGAGAGGTCCATATACACATCGTTACCACCCATCTACAAACAACAATACATCATATGTATGAACAGCCTTATAATTAAAATTTGACAGCCTCTATCACTAACGAGTCTCAACGCTTTAGTCTGTTTTAGAAGTTGCCCTATGACAATTTGCCAAGTTTGATTGAAACAAATATATGTCAGACTAGCTCATTCTATGATCGTCAAGTACATTGGTAAGAAGGTTCACTTCTCACTAAAGTTTATAATGAAAGTTACAGAGGGAAACAACTTTAGGAGTGCTGACTGTGTGACACTAAAAAAATCTTGTTTGAAGGCAAAGGTGGAACCAGAACGGAGCCAACTGCGTGGATGCTAAAATACTCTTAGAGAGGTGTTTTTAGGTGACAATGATACAAAAAAATTAGTCAGGACACATGCATTCAATAAATAAACAATTGTAAACTCAGATTCTCACAAAAATGCAGATGCACTTAAAAGAGATTATTTGGTGCAATTAATACCATCTAGGCCATCCACCCATTCCTAATGTACTTCTAAGGTTACTTCTACAAAGCAAATTGTTACCATGAAATAAGAAGCAAGTTTATACACTCACCACAACAGTATTCATTTCTGTGCCAATATCCAGCGCTGGAAAGTATGTTCCTTCCCCAGTTTCTGATCCTCCATTTCGATCCTGTATAAGTTGTTAGACATCCAAACTTACAATCAAACATAAGAATATAGCAGTGAAAATTGCTTATATCAAATGAACCAACAGAAATACTGCAAGAAAACCAAGGCTTTATTAACAACACATTATTTACTAACTTTAATAACCTATTTCATATCAGAACAAACCAGACTTTACCAGAAAAATCAGATAACATCAGAATTCTGGAGAGCCGTCACTGATTTTCTAGCCCTCATGGAAGTGGCACTGTTGTTCAAATGTTGTTAAGAGTACTTTTGGGATACTACAAGTCTACAAACACATTCCAGTTTCCTTCGGGTAAGATGGCTCTCACCCCCAAAGACTTCTCTATCATTACTGGAGTCATCTTCACTTTGCGGCCCGTGGCTCGGATCCGGAAATCAGGTTGTCATATCCGGAGGTTTTGGAACAGCCTGGCCTTGTTATCGAGTCTTTGCACAGTCGGACTCATGCAGGAAATTGAACTCGTTGTAGCCCTGGTAGCCAGCTTTGACAGGGTTCGTACATTTGTACTCATTTTTCTTGTTGGTACGATCTCTCCTGAAAGGGGAGTCTTGTATTGTTGCGTTATTTGTAGTCAATGTTAGGGTTGAGCAAAACTATCGGAAATCCGACGATCTGATCCGCATCCGATTCAAAAATTATGGATATCCGATCCGAAATCAATTTCAAATCGAATATTCGATCCGGAAAAAATCGGATATCAGATATCCAAATTTTGGATTTCGGATATTTGATCCCCGAAATCATTTATTTTTCTGTTTATTTCAAATTTTCAATCCCAAAAATAAAAAAAAAAATTGAAGTTTTCAAAACTCACAAGGAGTAAAAATAAAGGCCCAAACTAGAAAACCTAATTTCATCCCCACTACCCCCCACCGCCTCTCTCAATCTTTCACTCTCCTCTCCCCTCTCTCCTATCTCCTCTCTCTATCTTCTCTCCTCTCATATTGGAATCGACAAATTCTAGTCATTTCTCAAATTCTAGAGAGTTGCAACACTTTTCCTTCATCAAATTCTACTCGTTCATAATCATTCTCAAATCAACAAATCTACGGCAACGGCAGCTTCTCTCTCTTGGTCTCTCCTCTTCACAGTTGCTCCACCATCCTCCTCACGGCTACTCCATCAATTTATTTGTTTTGTAATATGTGACAATTAATTTGCAACTTTCTCTAAAATTTCTTTGTTTTTTAATTTGTTCAAATTAGTTGTTGGATTCAAAAATTTCTAGGTATTTGATTTGTCAATTATTCATATTATTTAATCTTTCAATTTGTTCAGGTTGTAATTTAAATAAAATTAATTTTGCCATTAATTAGTATCTAAACAATACTATAAAAAAAATTAATATTAGGGTCAGATTGGATATCCGAGCTACCGATCCAAAACTTTTCGAATATCCGGATATCGTATCGGATACGGATATCAAATATAGGAATTTTCAGATACGGATATCTTATCCGAAATCTACGGATATCAAATATAGGAATTTTTAGATACGGATATCCGATCCAAAATCAGATATCCGATCCGTGTTCACCCCCAGTGCGTTGACATTGCATTGCAGACATGTACTTGTTCCTAAGACAAGTCTGTCGTACCTCTTAGGACACTGTGACTCCTCCGAAAAGTTGTAGAGGTATTGATCTTTTTTTAAATCTTTTGCCATGATCTTTGTTAGGAACAAAATCTCAACTTTCGTTTATTGCAGTTGTGTTTCTACGAGTATTTTCCGACACGGGCTCCTGCGTGGGTGGGAACACACTCGTTCTCGGTAAGAGCAAGTTGACGTCACCGAGGAATGTCTATGATTATTTCTATCGCCTCCCTAAGAGACATACTATCACATGCTGATCGTGACGACACAAGTCTCTTAGACTTTACTTGTTAACTTGATTTGCTTGTGTTTTTTATTCATGAAAATCTCGTTTTGTTGTGGTCAAAGACTCGTCGTTGAGTATCGACCTTGGGGCGTTATCGAGGGTGCCGACGTACTTAGCCCATCACAGTCCTCTCAGCCCACAATGCTAGCTACCATGGCACGAGGAACCCCTTTCGGTACTTGGGAGAAAGTGACACGACAACCTAGCATGGACAAATTCGTGATCCCAGAGGATCATCTCGCTGTATGATGGATCCAAGGATGTTGATGGCGTATATAGAGCGGAATGCGTTGAGGACTCTCTGAAAGGAGGTTGTCCAAATGGGATAGTACTACACCACTGTGCTAGTCGCACGATTAGAGTCGACGGTGCATCTCAGAGAGATTGACTTTTATTCCTTTATGATGTTACTTGTAGCTCTCTCGTTTCATCAAATAACCTTATTGTGTATTATGTCCACCTCAAATAACGAGGCGTAATAAGGCACCTAAGTGCTAGAGACCTCCTAATCACCTTGATGTGCCTAAATCTTTTTTATGCATTGACAATGTTATACCCAATGATTATAATAATTAAATTCACTTTGTGTAGAGAAGTCCTAATAATTTCATTTTATTTCTATGTAGGGAAAATTTTGTCAATGGCTACCGTTTATAAATGGTATTAATCAATGGTCCCAATTTGGTGGGTGATAACTGATAAGGCAGGGATGGAGATAAAAGTAATACCCACTATGGGTGATGGGATGGGGGTGGATCCTATGTACTTTCCCCAAATCCGCCACATCCCACCCTACTCCACACCTCCACCTCCACCCACCCCGCCCCATACCTCAAAAATAAATACTCCTTAATTACATCAAAGCTCAAAATCTTCCTACACCCACTTTAACATAAGAAAAACTAAGTCTAACAATTGAGTTTCATCTTAATATTAATTTTGTGAACTTAGCTTGGCGATCTGCCCAATTAAGAGGGTGTTTATTTGAATAAGAATGAGTACCGCATCTTCAAAATAGTACCCTTCCCACAGCATATAAGCTATGATAAAATGCAAAACAATGAGCGCTAAATTGAATAAATACATGGAAGAGACTCCTATTGATACAAATTTATACATTATTGGTACAATTTCGGTTCCAACAAAGAAGTTAATTGGTACCAACAAAGCCAAAATCTTAATTAGTACTAAGTAAGCACTACTTTACTATATGGACCCCGTGTGACAAAAAATTGGATGGATTTCTTCTGGATAGTGAAATATAGATGTTAGACTTTGAGAAAAGGTGGTTTTATAAATAAAAGTATAAAGGTATTAATTTAAAAAACATTGTTTGCAAAAGGTAGTCAATGACAGTTTCTCTATAGATATGATGATTTTCAATTTAGTCAGGTCAAAGTAGGTTCAATACACTTCGAACATTTAATTTTTTTGGTTATTTAGGTCTAGGTAAAAAAAATTAAAAAATTAAAAAATTAAAAAATTAAAAAATAAATAAATAAATAAAATCAAGTCACTATAGTTTGGCCATGAGTCGCTTTTTGGATTGGTTTGAATTCAAGTTGATTTTTGACAAGGCATTATTTGCAGTTGACAAGTGTGGCAAGTGACATAATAACGAGGATAGCACTAGATAAATTAGGGGGAAAAGGCTACAAATAACATATAAGAGGGAGAAGCAACTTTATTGTTGTCCAAAAACCTGCCCATTCTAGTGTTAGAGAGAAGCAACCTTAGTGTTGGTAAAGACATAAAGAGCAAGGTAGGGGAAATCCACAAGCTAGAGTGATGAAAGCTTACAAGAGTTCCAGAAGAATTCTGCACGTGCCACTTTGACCACTCCCGTAACAACTCTTCTAGCTTCTGTTTACTTTGTCTGAAACGAAATTGACCCATAAGGCTCTAACCATTAAAAAATTGCAATGTAACACAATATATATATATACACATTTGGTCCTTTTCAACAGTACTGAGCAATGAGCAATACAACACTAAGGATATAAGTAAAACCTTCATTCTACAGTGACTATGCTACTTTGTTTTTGTTATGAGGAAGAATTACCTTAAGAATCCCATTACCAACTTATGATAAAAAAGATTTCACTTACAAGACCGACTCTTACAACATACAGAAATTTCTCTCATTCACCCTTCCCCATTTTCCCACCCTTCACAATGGACACTTCTCATCAGTTAATTCTTAAACAGATGCCACTATGCTCAAAACATCACATCAGATGCCCCAATGACTTTTAACCTGTAGACTTTTATCATAAGAAGAGAGCCCAACGGATCTTTGAAACTGAAAAGGACTAAAGGAGGGATTAATATGTTTCCTTTTACTCTCAAGTTTCTTTTTTCCTGAATATTTGTTAGATACATCCCCGTCACAACAGCCCATCCTCCCCCCCCCCCCCCACCTCCCACCCCCGGAACAAAAATAATGGGAATGAGAAGACACCCTTCAACTAAAAAATAAAAAAATAAATAAATAAATAACAACAGCAACAACCTTGACAAGCAACGGTATTTGACATAGACAGATGGCTGCTGCTCATCAGATGGCTGCTCCTCATCCGATGTCATTTGCATTCTCTTAAGACACAATAAAGCTGTAGCTGGCATTGTGAAATATAGGTCACAAATTCAATACATCTTAGGTTCATGAAATTAAAAATATAACAATATGCATAGCCATTAATTCATATTTTATTAACAAATAACAAATCCTATCAGCTAATTGCACGTGAATAGCAAGTCTGAAATCAGCTAACAACAGACAAAAGCAACAAAGAAAATGACATTCATAAAACTTTAGGATTCGACCAATATCTGTCTATAACAGGCACATCCCTAAGCTAGGGCAGGAGAGGTGACTACTATGTGGCTATGATTGGAAGGCACATTGCTGCTTCGGAGTTTGGGAAAATAGCAAGCCTATTGTCATTAACCAATACTCTGTTAAGTCCTGGCAAAAATCTGCATTGCATTGACCAATCCTATAGCCCCTGGGTAGAATAGGCCATATTCGTAGTCCCATCTTAACATTATCGGGCTAAAACCTATAACCTGCAAATTTATGCTGAATTGGTTGAAGTGACTCAATGGTATTGACAATTGATGCGTTGCTAATCATAAAATTCTTAAGATGGGTTCACTAGGGGGTGCTTAACCTTAGAGCCAAGCCTGAATAAGCGTAGCGTAGATTCAGTTTGAGTTCGATTGAATTTAGGCAGGCTCGGGTCGAGCTGAAACTCGACCGGCATCAAAACCCAAGCACAGCTCGGGCTCCAATTGCCCCAACAAGGCTCCGCTTGTGGACTAAATTAGGCTCAAACAATGCAACACATTAGCAATCAAATTTGAGTCAATTATCAAATTAGGGTCAAAAAAATACATTAAATCTTCTCGCTTAGAATATCAACGTACAATGCACATAACAAAATTCTAGCAACAAAAATGTTCGTTAAAAAAATTCATAACTTAAGTAACTAAGTATAGCCAATAGTTCAATAATCCACCTTATAAGAACCCGAAATCGACTATATTGACAATTGAATCAACGATATTGTGAGACAAAACCCTAGATTTTGCGATTGAAAATCAATGTTAACAAAAAAACACTATTACCTCAGAAATTGCTTCAATGGAGGAGAAGATCAGAACCGGCTTCAATGGAGAAGTCAGAGCACGATTTAATGGAAACTCAAGAGCACGCTTTGAATTTTTAATGGAAGAGAGAGAGGGTGCAGTGTAAAAGTGAACAGATTTAATGCACTAATTGCCTCTAAAATTGAAAAACAGGAATATGATTAATTACGCACATGTAATATCAGAGAAATTCCCAGATTTTTCTTAATAATTAGAGACGTTACTAAGCCAAGCCTATTCGTGATGCTCGACTAGGTTAGAAGTCTTAGAATTGCTCGATCTAAGTTCGGCTTGAGTGGACCCAGGTAGAGTTCGATTTCGACTCGATATCTTAATATGCAAAGCCTAAACTATACATGGCTAGACTCGTAAACTCATTAGCAAGCTCGAAATAATTTTTAATTTTTAAAATCTATAACTATTACTAAAATAACAACTTCAAGTTGTAGTAAAATTTTTGCCTCCTAAAATACATAGGATGTCATCAATTTTTATATCTATTAACAATTACTAAAATAAAACGTTGCTGACATCATACATCCCCCTCCTTATCTTATGTATCGCTTCTCATTAAAAAAATTCCCGCCATTTTGATATATGATGTCATCAATGCTTTTTTTTTTTATAAAAAAAACTACACTACATATGTATAATAACATGAATAATATAATAATGCATACTCTACTACTATTGTTGGCCTATAAATACAAAAACTATCAAAGTTCATAAGATAACATATATCCATTCAAAAAATAAGCTATAACCTATGAATACGGAAACTATCAAAATGAAAAGTGACTGACTTTTGGACTCAAATGCTAAAGTGAATTGTATTCACGTTATATTATCCAAAATTCCTCCTATTTAATTATCCAAAGTTTCCTCCTATTTAATTGTGATGATAGGTGTAAATAAAAAAAGCAGTAACTATCCAAAGTGATTGACGTTTTGTTTTAATATATGTACGTGCATTGCATTTTTTTTCAACAGTTCAAGGGCATGATCAAGCAATAACAATAAATCATGAATAATCAAGCAACATATGATTAATACAACAATCATCATAATCAAAACATCGTTAGTAAGATCCTAGGCATGATACTAAACGGATTAATAACAAATCCTAGAATGTTACTAATAATCAAATCAAAGTATTATCCTAAACATGATTCTAGAAATCATGATAAGCATCCTAAACATGATATTAGGAATCATAATAAACATCTTAAACATGATACTAGGAATTAAAATAATATTGTAAACATGATTTCTACTCTAAAATTGAAAGAATAATTAAAGAGATAATTGAATTACTCACTTTGATGCCTCAACCTTCTTTCTATTAAAACAATACACACGTTAGTAAACTTCAAGAAAGTTAAATCAATAAAGTAAATAAATCAAATATGAATTGAAATATAGATTTGGGACCAAACCCTTAGAAATATCAACCTTTCACGTCGAGGTTGAAGGCAACGTTGAGGATGGCTTGGAGTATTAGAATCTCATGAATGAGATATTGTGACTGATTTGGAGGAATATTAAGGATGTTGTAATACTCTGTATTTTTATAATATTTTTATATATATAAATTAAGAAATTTTATTTATTTTTATAAATTAAAATGATTCATTTCATTTTACAAGAATTTATTATTTAAATATTAAGTAAGTCTTTATAAAATAATATGAGTCATTAATTAAGCCAATAAATTATTTTTAATTTGGGTCAACATCAATTAAATTGATGGATCAACTTGTTGGGAGTTCAAGAACACTTAAGAGCCCAACAAGTTGGCCCCAAAGGAGAAGTTAAGGGGGAGTAAGATTAGTAATGATAGTTTTGTAATAAGTGTTTTTATTTTAAAAGGGGAGTTTAAATACTTTAAAACCTCAAGAATTGTACCCTCTAAATTCATAATTGTTAGATTTCATACAAAAATCCCAAAAGTTTTCCTCCTATTTTCTCTCACCTTTTTTCTCTCTTTTTCTCTTTCTTTTTCCCACGCCTCTCTCTCCCTCTTCTCTTCCCCTCATCTCTTCCCCTCACGACTGGCAGCCACCGGCGCCACCACCGACCACCAGCGACCACCAGCCAGCCACCGTCCCCCCTTATTGTCTTTCTCCTCACGGTTTGGTAGTATAAAAAAAAACTCTTTCTTTCTCCTAATTTAATTCTAGTTGTTTTACTATTTTAAAGCATAATTTTTTATTATGTTTTGGTATTGATTTTGGGTATTTGATATTGTTAAATTATTCCTATAATTTTCTGATTTTAATTTAATCAAAAACCCCAATTTACAAACCTTAATATTTGGGAATTTAATATTTATAGTTAGGGGTTTGATCCTAGGTTGTTGTGAATGTTAAATTAATGGTTTATACGTGTCTCTAATAAGTTTAAAGCCCTCAAATTCGTGCTGGATTTTAATTATACACATTACCTTTTAATTATGGTGTTAGGATTGGATTACCCATAAAAGGGAAAAAGGTACTTAAAGAAAGGTTTTATGGCTTTTATACCATTATTAAATTGGGTTAATTAGTAAGGTCTAAAGAGTATTATAGTTGCTAAAAATTTATGAGGATAGTGGATTAATTATAGTTATGTATTCTTATTCATAGGAAGCTTTGAGCTAGGTGATTTCTAGTGAGTGTGGCCGAGTTTAAGCACCATTCAAGGTACGTATGCGCAGAAGAATATTTGTGGATGCATAGTATCATGCTAGGGTAGTAAAGTATGATTTAAGTGATGAAATAGTAACATGTTTGGTTGATTATATGCTTGGAATTGTTGTTAGTTGAGCATGACTTATTATGCAAGCATGTGAATATGTTATTTGAGGCATGATACAAGTTGAATATGTATGAATCATTGACGTATGTTTTATTTTCAAGTATCAAGAAAGCATGAATTTAATAAGCAAGACTTATGTATGTTTAAAAGAGCTAAAATTAGAATTATTGTGCATGATTCATGAATTTATTTCTCACCCATTTATTATTGGTGTTGAGTCAAGAAGTTAGTTTATTTATTTACTCACTCATGTAAGTTGAGTTTGAGTAAAGGAAGTCTAGTAGTGCATTTTATGCACCAAGGTAGTAATCGTGCAATTTTGTGCACAAAACTATGCAAGGAACCTTAACCAAAATAAATAGTATGTGCTCACTAATTAATTCAAGGATGAATTGGAAGTATGTGTTGAATGTTGCTATGTTTGTTCTTGATTGATTGGTTATAGTCATCACAGGTTAAATTGGTAAATCACATAAAGTATAAGAGTATACGCACCAAAACTACTCTTAGAATGTATACACCTTGAGTATGAACACATGGGGGGAGTTATGTGACTTTATATTTGATCATAGCTTGTACAGGGGTACAGGACGCTGTACTTTTTTTTTATTATTATTTAATGGGCTAATTTTAAGGATGGAAACCCATTCGATGCGTAATCCAAATTATTATTTAATAATTAAAATTGTTAGTTATGAGTCAAAGGTAAGTTGACTTGTGATCGTATGACGAGCATGTTTAAATTATTTTTATTGGTGCTAGGACATTCATGTTAGTGTGGTGCAAATGTACTCAACTTTTGCTGATTCTTACCTTTGTGTTTGTGTTTGGCTTTCCTTTGGATTGGCCCTACTATGACCCATTTATATGGTGAGTAGAGGGGTTGAAATAAAGAGAAAGTGACAGGTACTCAAGGCATGAAGAGCATAAAGGGAATGAGTGCAGAGAGTTACTTGTTATGTGTAGGGAATTTTTCAAATTCAACCTTTTGAGCCCCACTGTGATCATGTTTTTAGACATGGCGGCGCTCCTAGGGAAGGAAGCTAGAAATATAAGAGTCGCCAACAAGTTTTAGGAGCTTGTAAACCGTTTCACAGGTGCGAAGGTTACACCCCATGCACGATCATGGAGATCGCTAACTTCATAGTGGTCCGGAACCATGACTCGATATTCGGGGATGATGGTACGAATCCAACCTAAAAGAGATTGAACCCACCCTAAATCGGCCTCTACTTAACTCTTATGATATTCATGTGCGCTTTCCGATTAACATACATACATCAAATTAGCCCTAAACCTATGTAATCTACGTTAGTTGACTATTAATGCACAATCAAATCTATTATTGGTGATCACTTGAATTAAAATCATATTAACCTAAATTTAAATTATTAATTATCTTATTAGGCGTGATTTCAAGTACAAATTCCCTTTAAACCTGCAAAAAGGGGCGTAATCAAGCAATAACAATCCATCATGAATAATCAAGTAACATATAATTGACACAACAATCAACATCATAATAATATCATAAAAACACCATTAATAGCAAGATTCTAGGCATGATACTAAACGGGTTAATAACAAACCCTAGCATATCACTAATAAAAATCGTAATCAAAGCGTTAACCTAAACACGATACTAGAAATCACAAAAAAATCCTAACATGATACTAGAAATCATAAGAACATCCTAACATCATACTAGGAATTAAATAATATTCTAAACATGATTTCTACTCCAAAATCAAAATAATAATATGGGTGATCGAATTACTCACGTTGATGTTCCTCCCTTCTTGCTATTAAAACAATAAACACGTTAGTAACTTCAAGAAAGATTAAATCAACAAAAGTAAATAAATCAAATAATAATTGAAATATAGATTTGGGACAAAACCCTCAGAACTATCAACCGCCGAGATCGAAGGTCACGTCGAGAAAGGTTAGGAGTATCCGAATCTCGTAAGGAAGTATAGTGTTTGATCGAAGAGAGTACCAAGGATGTGTGTAGGATGTGTTTAGGCTAGGCTAAGAACATGAAGAATTAAGAGAGAGAGAGAGAGAATATTAGAGATGGTTGATGATGATTGTTGGTGAATGAAAACAGGGTGATACGACCTCTATTTATAGGGAAAAAAGAGAGTCGAAGGATCAGAAAAGAGTCAAGATTCAAATAAAAGTAAAACAGGTCTCATCGCGACGCGATAGGTTCATTGCGACGCGACAGGTTCATCGCGGCGCGATGGTGCTGTCGCTTAGCGATGGTTATGGAAAGATAGAATCCGTACGGAGTTTGATTCCCAATAAGACTAAGTCAACCAAATATCCGTACGTATTCTATTTTGATCGGGATTAAGATCATTGAAAAATAGATGTTTTATCCGATGTAAAATTCTTAAACCTTTATCTTTTTGAAAACATGATAAATTAGAGACTTCTAGAGGA